GAAGATCTTGGTGACGACAATATGGATGATAAAGTATCAAACGGTTTCGAAAATAGTTCAGAGGACGGTTTGATAATCCACTGCAATATTGTGTCAGTTTTTCCTAATGAATATGGGTTTGCCTCAGAGGCATCTGGGAATGAGGGAGAAGACATGTGTGAGGAATCAACAGTCAAAAACCTTTGTGTTACTATGTCATGAACAATGGGATGGTAGAAGAGCAACATGCAACGTTTGAAAAACCTACATCAGACGTGATGTATCATCTCAAACCTTTGTTCCTAAGGTCCAAGGTTGATGAATTCACTGTGAACAAGGTGTTCGTTGATGGTGTTGTACCCCAAAATTTACCCTCTTGATTCAAGCTTATGTTCCATCATAAACATCATATTACATTGCATTCATACATGGTGATGGGATCAAAATATTATGTTTATCAGGTCTTTCTCAAGCTTTGGAGGTTAATTGTGTCGACAAGTTGCTCAAGGAGAGCCTTATTATTTAAATATCTGGATCTTTCTATCCCAAAGGATTCACATATCCTAAGATAGCTCACCCACTTCATTGAATCATCAGAAGATTGAAGATTGTGTTGATTATAAGGAGAATCACATCCTTTTGATTCATCAGTCAAAATTAGGGTTTTGGTTGATTAAAGCTATTGATGCATGAGCAAGTCTTGATTTTGAAGCCACAACACCTCATTGACATTTGAGATATCTTTGTGCAAGAAATTGGCCAAGATATCCAGAGGATTTGAAGTTTTAAATATGATTCATCATTCTTCTATGGTGTTGACCAAAATTAGGGTTTGGGATTTCATCAGGTTCTCTTGAGTATTTAGAGATGAAACTTTATACATGGCCCCTATATATTTGGAAGATCATATGTTTGATGTCTTGATCATCAATTTTGAAGGGAAGTGGATCAATTGATTCAAAGGGGCAAAATTGTCATTTTGGCCACAATCAGTCAAAGTCAAGGTTGACCAAGTGAACTTTTGGTCAACCATCAATTCAAGGGAGTACTTTTCATTTTTCAAGTCCATTTTAATCATTGGATCAAGAAGATTGAGGTTTGGATTGAAACTTGTTCATGAAGAAATCCAAAAAGTTTCTAAATTTGGAAACTGAGTATCAAACTTTGAAAATTCATATTTTATTCATCTTTGATCAAAAAAATGCAAATGAAGGATGCTTGGAAAGCTAAGAGGGAGATCTTTCACATGATTCCATTTTTGAGAACAATGCATGAAGTGGTTGTAATTTATGAAGCTTGAAAGTCACAAAATTATGGGTCATTTCTCAAAATTTGTGATTTTCATACCATATTTTGAAGAACTCAATGGAATCAAATGTGAGGCCAATTTCCACATGGTTGAAGAGCATTGCAAGACCTTTCCAAATAATGCTCATTTGTGTCAAAATTCAAAAATATGAGCAAGTTATGGGCTTTCAAATTTTGAGGCATTTTATTGAATTTTGGCCAAGCAAGCAAATGCAATTTCTTGAGAACTCGAGTTTCAGCCATTCCTTTTGTTTCTAATCAAGCCCATGACCAATTTGTGACATGCTGAGGCCCATTACACTCACCATTTCGTGCCTTATGGGCCATAGAACTTGCTTGCATTCAAAATGCTCAAAGTTGCCAAGAAGGGCCAATTGATCAATACTCATTCTCCTTTACAAGTCAGGACTTATAGCTTTGAGGCTTTCTTCCTGATGGTATTTGGCACACAAAACACAAGAAATAAGGAGCAATGCACAAGCAAAACGCAGAAGCCCATAATCACTCAATTTCTGGCCATTTTTTCCAATCCGACCCTCTAACAGTTTTGAGGACCAATTTTCTCTTCTAACCTTCTCTACTCACTATATAATGTACTGCAAGCTTCATTTCAGGACACACGCGCTCCAATTATCATAAATCTAGATCTGAACTTTTTCTGCTCTTGCTGAAGTTTTCTTCGATTCTCTCATCTTCTTCGCGCATTCATCAAATTTCATGTGGATTCATCTTCCTTGAAATGTGTAGATCAAGATCATGGAGTTTGTTGTCTTCTGTAATTGAGGAATCAAGGTTTCCAGTTTCACATTGAGGTGAGATTTTTGAACTTCGATTTGCTTTGTTTAGCATGATTTGATGAATCATTCCATGTTCATGATGTATTAGTTGGTCAGACTATAGGTCTGATGTACTTGGTTCACTTGATTGAAGCTTGAATCGTGTTATATGCATTTTCTGCAACCTATTATGCACTTCATGTTTTCAGTAACTTCGCGAGCGTATTTCTTTTAGATCCCTTATCCATTGAGAATTTTATGATAATCATGAGATAAATGGTAACTTCAGCTTTAATTTGTGCTTTGGATCATGGATTTTGGTTGAGAAACGAGCGCGATTGATGGGTCGGAATATAGGCTCGTGACCTGTTTTGTTGTACATATTTTGATATGCTGGAGGTTGAAGACGAAGTGAGGTGGCGCACTCTTATTGGTTTATTTGAAGTTTTAATGCATTTCATATTATTTGATTTTAATTGATTTTCTCTAATTTTATTTTATGATCAAAACATCTTCAATAATTTTATTTTGATTTTAATTGATTTTGTCTAATTTTAAAAATATTTTGATTGGTGAAAAAAATTCGTGCATTAATTAATTTTTTTAATTGATTTTTATATACTTTTTTTTGTTATTTTTTGTTTCTGACTTTTCCTTTGTACAAAAATTATGTGAAAAATATTTTGGACACTTTGATTAGTCCTTTTTAGGACTATGAATTTTATTTCAGAATTTTCTTTCTTTTAATATATTAATAGGTTTAAATTGATTCTTTTATTTTTGTCAATTATGTTAACCTTGCTTTTAATATGGAAAAATTCCACAAAAATTGTTTTGGACTCCTAATATTATTTAGAATTTGATTATGAAATTTGTTTGGTATTTTTCCTATTTTTGATTAGAAATTTAATTTGAGAGTTTTATTTGATCTTTTTTGTTTCACAATTTTTGTTTTAATATTTTCCTTGATCCAAAAATTCCTAAAAAAAATCATAGAAGCTTATTTTTAATCATAGTATTTGAATATAATTTTGTTTTGATCCTCTTCTGATTTTTGGTTAGGGTTTACATTTTGTGATCTAAATAATGGTTTAATGGTCTATTTGTTGGTATTTGATTTTATTTTAATATTTTCCCTAATAAAAAAATCTACAAAAAAATCAGAGATGCTTGCTTTTATTTCTAATATTTGAATCTTAATCTTGAGTCTAATTTTCTTCTGACTTTTAATTAGAATTTTATTTTAAAATATAGGTGATTTGTTTAATTGATAAATTGTTTGAATTTGATTTCTTTGACTTTTCTTTAATTGGAAAAATTGGAAAAAATAGGTATTCTGATCTCTTGAGTTTTCTCCTTATTGGTGTATATTTGTTTTGAATTGTTTGAGTTTTGATCTTACCTAATTAATATTTAGGATTAAAAGTCAAACAATTAGGGTTTTGTTGTTTATTGTGCAAGTTTCAATTTTAAAATCACTTTGCTCTGGTTTTCCAATGGGATTTGGATCTTGTTTGAGGCTCATAGATAGGCTGAGGATCTAAATCTAATTTTTCTTGGATTATTGGAATTGGTTTGATATTTTTTCCACAAAATATTTTGAGAACTTGTCTAGTTTGCTAGTTTGGACAACTAATTTTGAACTTTGAGTCTTATTGGATCTCCTCCTCAACTATTCATGAACTTAAGACTTATTTTTTGACTTCTATACACTTCAAAGATGTTAAGATTTTTTTTGTGTGATTTGTTGATCCTTGTTTCCACTTTTGATGTATTCTTGAAGTGAAGGTGACCAATTGAGTTTGCATTCTTTATTGCAACTTGTTCATTGGACAATGAACTTATGTGAGACATGTAATTTGGACACCTAATGATCATGTTGTTTCTGTTTATTCACATAAACTCAACTCAATTCATTTAATTTCCTCATAATTGAATGTTGAGCCTTTTGATACATGCTTTGTAACTTTTGTTTTCTTATTGATTTTTACTTTGAAACTTGAGATTTTAACTTGAGTGTAAGGTCATCAAGTGACCAATGATAATATGTATAGAAATGACACTTCAATGATAGTCTCATAAGGACTTGAGAATAATTGATCTCTAGTGCTTGAATCATTTTCATTCATATATGAATTTGATGTTCCTTTCTTTTCTCATTTTGAATCTTTGAGGTATATTGAATGCACTTGTGCAACATGTATTAGAATCAACATTGTAACATTTTGATCATATCCTCATAATATTTTAGAAGCTTGATTTCAAATCTTTGAATGGTTTAAGCTCTCTAACCTTGTTTTGTTTGACTTTCTTTCAGTGCTAACTTGTTATTCAAACTTTGTGGTGCATTTTTTGTAGAATCCCTCTTCTAGTATGCTTGTGAACCATAATGAAATATGTATGCATGGTTGAGTAGTGTTTGCTACTGACTTTCAAGGTCTTTAATTGTGTTCTTCTCCAGCTCTTTTAATCCTTGATTGATATTTACTTGTCAATTCAACATGGTGATTAAAAGGAGCAACAGTCTTTTAGCTTTGACCAAATTGTTTATATCTAATTTATTTTTATTTACATATTTATATTTTAATTCTATATGTTTAGTTAAAAATTTAAATTTAATTCTATATAATTTATTTATTTTTATCATTTAATTAAAATATTAAAATAATAGATTACAAAAACATGTGTTTCTTTTATTGATTTTATTTACCTTTTAAATTTGAATTTAGTTAGTTTTAATTTTATAAGAAAAATTTATATATAAAAACGAGAAAAAAAAGAGTTTGTTTATTTTTGTTTAGTTTTAACCTTTTCACAAGATCTATTTGAGTTTAGATAAGCTTTTTGTGGATTGTTATAAGCAGGAAAGTGTGGATCGATAAAGAAGGAGAAAAAGGCAAATACTCTTCATCTCTCAATACTCCATCACTAACTGTTCTATTCATCCGAGCAACACACCGAACCGTGAAGCCTCATTTCTGATCTATTACCATACGCAATCAGCCACCATCTATCCGCCTCACTTCCATCTCCGAAGCACTTCTCATCCACACATCCGCGTCCCTGTTCCATGCTAGCTTCACAAAAAAACCGAACATCTATCAATACCCCACTGGTACCGCTATTTCATTTCCACGGTTTGCTCGCGATAATACTCTCTCAACATCCATCAACGCCACCATCTTCAGCTTCAGCAAACTCGCTCCGAAACAACTCTGCAACATCAACATAAACCCTCTTTTCAACAGACATCAGCAACAGCACCTATTCTGTCCGTTACTCCTTCCATACTTCTTAGAATTTCCGACGTAGCTCTTGATATAAAGAAGCATATTTCGTTATGTGATTTATTTTGAGAAAGAGACAAACTTTTTGTTTATTGCTTGTTAAATAAAATACACTTTTGGTCCTTATATAGATGTAATGACTTTTACAATTCTAAAAGATAACTGTTACTAATAATAACTATCATAATTTACTAACTTTTGTCCTTTCAAATTATATTGGTTCTTAATCTTTCTACTACCATATTTAATATGAAAACTTATTACTAATGACATTAAAGTTTACTCAACAAAACTCCTCTGTAAACTTAAATGTTTCTTCTATCTAGCATTCCTATCATCTTCTTGCCTCTGCCGAAGATCTCTTTTGATAGTGGTTTTGTGAAAATATTCGCTGCTTGATTTTTGCTTGCTACATGCCTGAATTCGACACTTTCCTCCTTCACATGTTCACGAATGAAGTGAAATCGAACATCAATGTGTTTGCTTCGTTCATGATTCACTGGATTCTTTGTCAATTCGATAGCTGCTTTATTATCCACTTGTATTATTGTTGGACCTTCCTGTTTTAGCTCAATCTTGCTTATCAACCTTCTGAGCCATACTGCATGACATACGCACCAAGATGTTGCCACATATTCAGCTTCACACGTCGAAAGTGTTACTATAGGTTGCTTCTTCGATAGCCAAGTAAATGTTGTGTTTCCCATGAAAAACACATCCAGAGGTGCTCTTTCGATCGTCTATGTCTCCGCACCAGTCACTGTCAGAATAACCAACTAACTTGTAGTCTTCTGTTTTTGAATAAAGCATTCCTAGTGATATTGTTCCTTGGATGTATCTTAGAATTCGTTTCAGCGTCTTCTAATGTGTGTGTACTGGCTCCTCCATGAATCGGCTTACAATGCCAACACTTAGTGAAATATCTGGCCTTGTGCATGTGAGATATCAAAGGCTATCTACCAAGCTTCGATATTTGCTTCCTTCAATCCGTTCTCCTCCATCAAACTTTGACAGTTTTGCACCTGGTTCCATTGGCGTCGAAGTTGGATTGTAATTCTTCATTTTATATTTTTTTTAGGATTTCCTTTGCATATTTTTCTTGTGAGATAAAGATTCCAGTTTCTTCTTGTCGAACCTCCAGACCAAGAAAGAATCTCATCAGACCTAAGTCTGTCATTTCGAATTCGCTTGTCATGGTGCTCTTGAAATCTTCGATCATCTGAACATCACTGCCTAGAAAGATAAGGTCGTCAACATAGAGAGCAACAAGTAATACACAACTTCCATTTTTCTTCACATAGAGGGCAGGTTCATAAGGACATTGCTCGAACCCATTCTCTTTGAAATATGTGTCAATGCGTGTGTTCCATGGCCTAGGTGCTTGCTTCAGCCCATACAGCGATTTCTTCAGTTTCAACACCTTCTTCTCTTCTCCAATTCTCATATATTCAAGTGGTTGTTCGACATAGATTTCTTCTTCGAGCACACCATTCAAAAATGTTGTCTTGTCATCCATTTGAAATATTGGCCATTTGAATTGAGCAGCTTGAGAAATGAGTAATCGAATTGTCTCCATTCTTGCAACAGGCGCAAACACTTCGTCATAGTCAATTCCTGCTTTCTGTATGTATCCCTTCACAACCAGTCGTGCTTTGAATCTTTCGATTTCTCCTTGAGCATTCATCTTTTTCTTGAATACCCACTTTACACCAATGGGTTGACTACCTTTTGGCAATTCGACTAGCTCTCAAGTATTGTTGCGTTCGATTTCTCTAATCTCTTCGTCCATGGCACTTTTCCACTTCTTGTCTCGTAACGCTTCTTCGACACTGATGTTTTCAGCATCTGCCAGAAGACACACAAGATGCACCTCACTTGTTGAATCATACAAATCTTGCAAACTTCTCATTCTGGGTTGTAGAGGTTCATCTTCATCTTCAGTTTCTTCATGTTCTATTGGAATACTTGTTGGTACAGCTACAGTTGTTTCTTCGACTGCGTCAATAACCTCTGTTGAATTGTTCCAGTACCACTTGCTTGCTTCGTTCATTCAAACGTCTCTACTCACGATCACTTTCTTGCTTATGGGATCAAAGAGCTTGTACCCTTTCGTCTTCTCATCATATCCAATGAATATGTACTTCTGACTTTTGCCTTCAAGCTTTGTTTATCGTTGATCTGGTACATGTGCATAAGATATACTACCAAATACCTTGAGATGAGAAACTGTTGGCTTCTGTCCACTCCATGCTTCTTGTGGTATTTTGTCTTCTAACTTCGAATGTGGACATCTATTTTGAACATAAACAGCACATTGTACTGCTTCTGCCCAGAATTCTTTCGACGTGTTCTTGCTTTTGAGCATTTATCGAATCATGTCAAGAATAGTTCGATTCTTCCTTTCAGCCACACCATTTTGCTGAGGTGAATATGGTGCAGTTAGGAATCTCCTTATGCCATGTTCTTCACAGTACTTCACAAAGGCCATCGAAGTATACTCACCTCCTCTGTCAGATCGAATTGCTTTGATGTGTCTGTCTGTTTCCTTCTCCACCATTACTTTGAACTTTTTGAACACCTCTAATGCTTCAGATTTTTCTTTCAGGAAGTAAACCCAGGTTTTTCTTGAGAAGTCATCAATAAAATAAATGAAGTACCTTTTTCCATTGAAGGATTCTGGAGTGATTGGCCCACATATGTCAGTATGTATCAATTCGAGAATATGTTTAGCTTGATACTCTGCCTTCTTTTGAAATGAGGTTCTTGTTTATTTGCTGAGCACACATTCTTCACAGAACTTTCCTTCGAAATCCATGTCTGGTAGTCCATGCACCGTGTTCCTTTTCGCCAACCTTCTCAAACGAGCATGGTGTAGATGACCAAAGCGCATATGCCATAGTGACGCTTTGTCTTGCTCTTTGATTTGCAGATATTTCTCTCGAACGTTCCTCAGGTTCAGTTTGTACATTCGATTTCTTTCCACTTCGACACAGGCAATCAGATGTCCTACTTCGTCCTTCAAATGCAGTGTTCGATCTTTCATAAGTATCGAAGCACCTTTTTCTGTAAGTTGTCACAGACTCAATATGTTGGTCTTGAGATCTGGTACATAGTAAATGTCTTCGATTGATCCAATCAAGCCATCCTTCTGCAAGTAACTAATTGTGCCCTTTCCTTCGACCTTCACTTTCGATGCATCTTCAAAAGATACATTACCATCTTCAATTCTCTTCATATCTTTAAACAGGTGTTTGTAACCACACATGTGATTACTTGCTCCTGAGTCGAGATACCAAACATTGTCATTATTGGTGTTGATTTCGTTTTGAGCCATCAGGAGAAAGCCTTCATTCGATTCAGCTTCCAAGGCTAGGTTGGTTGTTTCTTCAATCTTCTTTTCGATTCGACAGTCTTTTGCAAGATGCCCCACTTTGTCACAGTTGTAACATTTGTAGGAGTTGCAATCCTTCGCGTAATGACCATACTTCCCACACTTGTAGCATTCGAAGTTGGAATGATTCGAACGACCACCTCTTTGACCACGTCCTTTGCCACGCCAATTTTGTTGGCTCGACTGTCCTCTTTCGAAGTTGCTACCTCTACCACTTCAACCACTGTCAAGACCTCCACGTCCTCTTCCTCGAAAGTTTTGAGAAAAAAGTACCTTTTCGTCTTTGTTCGACTCCTTGGTTTGATTTGCTTCTTCGACTGCTTCTTCTTTCTTTTTCATCTTTCGTTGTTCATGTGCTTCTAGAGAACCAGTGAGCTCTTCGACTGAGAGCGTCGAAAGGTCCTTCGACTCTTCTATTGCACACACAATATTCTCAAACTTGTCTGTTAAAGATCTCAAGATCTTTTCAACAACTCGTGCATCAGTTACTGTCTCTCCATTTCTGATGAGTTGATTCACCACCTTTTGCACACGTGTGATGTAGTCAGATACAATTTATGTATCCTTCATTTGTATCCTCTCCAATTCGCCACGAAGAGTTTGGAGTCGAACTTGCTTCACTCGGTCTGCTCCTTTGAACACTCTTTCTAACGTGTCCCACGCTTGTTTCGACGTAGTCGAACCGGCAATTTTTTCGAAGCCTGATTCATCTACAGACCTGAACAACATGTATAATGTCGTTTTATCCTTCAATCGCGTCTCTTTCAACGCCTTCGTTTGAGCTGTCGTATATCCCCCAACTTCTGTTGGTTCTTCAAACCCTTCATGGGTCACATCCCACGCGTCTAGAGATCCAAGAAGAGCTTTCATTTGGATACTCCAGTTTTCATAATTTGACTTCGTTAGCCGTGGAAACGGTATTTGATTCATCATGTTTGCCATGAGCTCTGATGCCAAATTGATATAAAGAAGCAGACTTCGTTATGTGATTTATTTTGAGAAAGAGGCAAACCTTTTGTTTATTACTTGTTAAATAAAATACACTCTTGGTCCTTATATAGACCCAATGACTTTTACAATTCCAAAAGATAACTGCTACTAATAAAAACTATCATAACTTACTAACTTTTTTCCTTCCAAATTACATTGGTTCTTAATCTTCCTACTACCATATTTAATATGAAAACTTATTACTAATGACATTAAAGTTTACTCAACGGCTCTAACAACTCAGTTGCTTCCCCATTCACTTTTGTGAGTTTTAGTAAGCTTTCATTTCACTACCTTTTAGCGTGAGTTTGGTATTGTGTTGTGATAACTTTGGATTTTGAAATTAATGATGTTGTTATTGTGATGTTAATTTTATTTTAGTAACAGAGTTCATGTAGATATTTTTAGGGTTGTTTTGTGTTGAAGAAGTCTTGATTATAGTTATGGCTTATTTGTGTCTCTGAATTTTGGTTTGGTTTGTGGTGTCGATGCGGTATTCGAGTCAATCCAAATAATTGTTAATATTGATACTGCTTGATTTGTGCAAATGGTGAAACATTGAGATAATGGTCGAAGCATGTATTTGATTGATGGTGTTTGTTTCTATCAAAATTGGATTGAAGTTTCGATGTCGATACTATATTGCTTTATCCAATTTAAAGGTTTCACGGTCTTCTTTTCATTTTGAGATAATGTTGAATGAGGAAATTTGGTTGCAGTATCATTGTCTATCCCGTACGCGTGGAACACTTGTTTGAGATTGATTTTATTGAGCATGTTTAGATTTAGGTTGTTGGCTGCCCGAAACGGTTTAGTTATTGAGTATGAATTTAATGTTGCGTCATTTTGTTTGATTCAATTGGAAGGAGATTTGGATGACTTTTGTTGAACAATTAGTTTTGAATTCGAAAGTTAATTTGGGTGGCATTACTTTGTGATTTTCTTTTGTGCTAAACATGTTTGAGATTGAGTATGCATACTTGCTGCTTGGATTTTGGTTAAAGGTTTAAGACTTATTTTGGACTCAATTTTTTCATGTTGCAATGGGAATTTCAACTTCTTGTTTCATTTGTGGTTTGAAAACCATATTTACTTTTGAGCTTAATTATTTGAACATGCTTGAAATAATGTGTTGATTGCTGATTTTGGTGTGTGTTCATAAGAAGTAATAGCGTGAATTATTGACTCTCGTTTCGTTTGTGATTGGAAACAATGTTTACCGTTGTGTTTGTTTGACTTAGAACATGTTTGGAACGACAAATACAATCCTGATTTTTGCTATCTACATTGATTAATAACTTGTTTTCTTGGTTCATGATTTAGGAATATTCATTTGTTCATGTTACATTCATGCCAGTTTCATTTTGTTATAATCTCTCTTGTATTACTAACTTGTCTATTGTTTGTGAAGGCTTTCAAGATAGCTCATATCTTCACTTCATCTTAGCGCTATTTTGTTGCTTTTAGTTAATTAACTAAAAGTCAACTTAGTTAATTAATTTCGTTATTAAAAATTAATTAGTTTCGACTAATTAATTTTTCTTAACTTAATTAATTAACTTAATCAACTTTTAAGTTAATTAATTAAGCATACATTTCATATTTCATTTGTTTCATTTGTTTCATTTAGCTCTAATACATGTTCCTAATCCACTCGGACTTGATTCTTTATTTCGCATAAAATGTTCAGATTATTTCTATGCTATCTTGGTTTGTCTGTTTGTTGGGAATTTCATATGATACAAGGATTCTTATCCGACACTTTGAGTTTATCTGGTGCACTTTCTCGATTTGTGATTTATTTTTACCTGATACGCTTTATCTGTTGCTTTGAATATTATCTGATGTCTTGAGTTTCTTTGATGTTGTCTGCTTGTGATTTATTTTCACCTGCAGTTTGGTATACTTGATTTATTTACCTGCCTGTGACTTTAAATCTAAAGGGATGAGAACGCTATATTAATTTCTTTTACCAAGTATGAGCTTCTATTTGATCAGATCTTTCTTACCTTTTCTTCTACCTTCTTGTACATATGATAGTCTTTTCATCTCCTACCATATTCTTCAATTTTCAAAACCTTTTTATTTTCAATAAACTTGACCACTTTTATAATAAACCTTGACTTTGTCAAGTGACTTTTTCAAATTTCTTTTCTTAATAAATATTAAACCATACATAAGCATATTATAACATTTTCTGAATGACTAAAAAATATTAAACTTCATTCAGACCTTTTTTGTGCCCTCGAGCATCTTTCCCCTTTAAAAGCTTTTTTTTCCATATTAGACATGATTCATTTATAATCGAGATGGTATTCTTCTATTCCTATAATTGTTGACTTTTTCACTTGAGTACTAAAAGTGTTCTCAAACTCTCTCTCATGTTGTTGCGTAGTCCCTCTTTTCTCATATCTTGTGGGCGTTTAGACGAGTCTTCTCCTTAAAAATGACGACTTATCTCTTCATTTAAAATCAACAACACACAATTTTGTTCTATTTCAAAAAAACTATGAGTGCCCTGATCCCTTATTGTACGAATGGGGTACATAGACACAAAGGTTCGCAACCGCAGCGAACGCAATAATAAAAAATATTTCTTTTGTTTGTAAATATTCATTTATTCATTTTTCTTTAGCAAGTTAAAGCTTACACACTTTCTGATTAGAACAAATAAAGTGAATTCTGCAGAGTACCGTAGATGTTTAAGATGTTAATACATTTCTTTTGTATAACTGACTCTCGTACCTTGGTCTCGATTTTATTTTATTTCAAGTTTTATTTGCTCTTTTTTTCATTTTTTCTTTGAAAACAATAAAGTGCGGTGACAACTTTCACTAATATGATTTAAGTTAATTAATTATTTAAATTCAAATTTTTATCGCTACATTTTTGCATTAAGAGTGCGGCAACTTATCCCAAGATAGAGAAGTAAGCATCCTCCTGTTTTTCGCAGGAAGTCAAAGTCCAAGCATTATTAATAAGCAGATTACTCTGCCTGGTGTCACTAAAGGACGAATGTAAAACAGAGGTTCTCTCAATGAGGAACCGAACTCAGTAAATCACAAGCATGTTTGCGTGTATCACATATGTCCATTTATACGCTGAGGCTGACATCGGAATCAGCTACCGGCATTACGTAAACATTAGACAAAGCTCGTCATATAAGCCGCTTGTGCAAACTCTTTCAGAGTATAACATCTGATTTATGCAATTACAGAAGCAAACATGGCATGATCTATAAAATCCAACTGTTAATATTGAAAGATAGGATGTCATATGTGCATACGACATGGACCTCGCAACTTAAATCATGCTTAATCCAATTCTAAAATAAAATTAAAAGACCAAGTGAAGACTACTTATCTTTTTGGCTGTGCTGACAATGTTTTTATGGGGATTCTGTGATATCATGTCTGAGACTCTATTGATGGCTTCACATCAAACGATATCTTCTTCGTCCAGACCTATTCCTCTGGATCTGCAGATGAAGGCTTCAGCTTAGTTATTGCTCGTATTCTATATCTGGATATACCAACTGGTATTCCGCCGAGGTCTATATCCAATCGTTAGACAACATTTTGCCGGCGTTTGAAGATAGTTGCAGCAACATGTTCCTCTCAGCCCATTCAAATTGCATTTTCGAGGATGCATTCCCTTCTTCTACCTTTTGATCAATCTTTTTAAACTATATTAGAACCTCAACCAATTGTTTAGTGTCAATTTGACTTACTACTGTAGTTTATATGAGTGACAGCATTGGCAATAGCATACAAATTTTAATTAAGATTGTAGTGATGACATATCAAAGTACCAACATAAGAAAGGTTTTATCCATGTCAAGTACATAACTTTTTTGAAACTGTATATAGAAGAGATCACTTATCTCGTGTTGTCGGCATCGGCGTTGCGCAGTGATTTGATTTATGTGCGTGAATCTCGTTGGCCTAGCATAAGCTTCCGCGGACGACATGAACTATCTTTTAATGCTGATGTTGGTCCCACTGTGAGCCTTGCTTCCCCTTGTTGAGATCGACTTGGCCTTCCTTAACATCATGTCGACCTCGGGCTTCACAAGACTGTCCTTCACTGGTGGAAACAAAGCTTTCCCTCTTCATAAACCTGTCTTGCACACAACTTACAACAATCTGCTTTTGTTAGCCTTTTTCATTTCGGTTGTTTCCTCTATGGCATATGCCTTCATGGATAGTATAGGTTACAGTCGGTATTAACTACCCAAGGGACAGTTACAATAACAGGAAATAATTTCCTCACGGACGGTTATGAGAGTAAACATTAAAACAAAACGGTAATACTATTGGTAACTGTTGCAATTACACAGAAATTGTGAAGCACCTATTCACTGGAAATTAGGGATCGGAGTATCAACCTTTTCAAACAAATGATAAAATGTTTTTCCGATTAATCCAGCCATCAAGTGGGTTCAGAGGCATACTAGTAAATTATAAGACATGCTCAATGTTCATGACAACATCACATACAAGACATTTTGTCAAACACTTAATATTCATGACAGAGAAGAATAGCAAACTTATCTGGCATAGCGTAATCTATTAGAGATGACGGTTTCTCGACACAAAGACGCCTTCAGCTTTGCGTTATAAATTGATTGTTCTGCTATGGTCATTTCGTGACCTCCTCTTCTGCAATTGGGATATGTACAAAACCACATCTGTTTGGAAAATCAGAAAAGGGGTTTCTTAACACTCCGATGCATGACCTCTGTAACAATTCCACGGCGAGGGTTTCCTTACGAAACAAGATCGGATCGTCGTTAACCGGATGAAGAAACCTCATGTTGGGTTTATCCGATTAAAGCTTCTGAACACTTTTTCTGATCTTTCCTCCTTTGATTAGATGTCGTCAGGATTATCCTTCCCGGAGATAAATGCGGCTTTGGCATTGAGATTGTTGGCGGACGACTACGTCGATCGGGGTACTGCTGGGAGTAGCGGAGGCATCGGCTCCGCTAACAAAGAGATTGCGGGTTTCCGTGACCGGTGATGATTCACGTGGAGATGGTCACCAGTCATCCTTAACGTTTGAGAGTCGTAAGGTGAGATCTTGTTATCTACTATTGGGTCCACACATTACTGTTGATATTGAGTCGACTTGAATATTATTGTTGCCTACATTCAGATTTGATACGTAGATATTGTATAATAATATCAATGCGGATCCTTGTGAGAATAACATAAGAGTCTCGTTTTTGATGTTGTTATGTGGCTCATAAAAGTTTTATTGGAGTTCTATGGTGGGCACTAATGTTCTTGCGTAGAATAAATATTCGATCGTTTTTCCGTTCGAAAGTAAGGAAAGTCATGAAAATAGGTTAATGATCGGGGATTTGAGAGCTATGTCAATAGTGCATATTGTCTCAAGAATAATATCTAATTTATCCCTTTCTCTTTGGATATCACTGAGAGAGATTCTTTTTCCATTCACCAAGGACTCTTTATATAGGAAAGTCATTGGTCTAATGGTCATTAAGTCGTTATGTAACGTACGTAACTGTCCCTTAATAACTTTGTAATACTTGTCTTATCATTAGATTACAGTTATATCTCTTGCCCTCCTTGGATTCGATTTCCTGTAAATCGACGATGTTGTGCCGAACTTATACCCGTCTGGACCTAACTAAGTGGTCGGATCCGGTCTCTTAGGGACAGCCATGTACCTCATTATTTATCTGAGTTCGTACCTCGGCCTTGATACAAATATTCTGGGATATACATAACTCAAATTCACTTTTTTAAGCTAAAGAAAAATATATTAAATAAAAAAGAAAGAGATACAGAGATTGGGGGACATTAGACCTGACCTAGGAACATCGTGATGACCAAGTGGAACAACCGTAAATTATCCCACCAAAAATTCATCCATCACATGTGCAACCTAGCGAACCCACGTACGGGCACGAAACCAGGTTACAAAAAATTATGATGAGTAAGCACCTGCAAATAACATTTAGGATTTAAAAATGGAGAATGGATTTACCGCCATCACAGTACCAGAATCCAAGTGCCAATAACTCATTGAATAAAACGGTAAGCATAAAAGCTCTTTCGAGCATAAGCATTCTGAGAACAGTCAAAGACTGACATTAGATAATCAGGCGACACCCGAAGTGGAGGCAGGCGTGACGCCTTGAAACCTGCAAATATCGTTCTGACGCCTTACTTACATACACATCGAGGATGCGAGCACGAGAAAACTCCTCGCTTCCCCGCGAATGTAGATCTCAAACGGGCATCACATTAATACAAACAGGAGACGAAGTCAACCAAGGAAATTCTCGCAGAGCAAGTCGACCACACCTCTCGCAAATCTCTAAGTCCTTCTCGACATAAATCACAGAGCCGTCCCCGATACGAGTTGACAGTTTCCCCTCTTGGACAATACTTCCCCGACACTCGAACTGATCTCAAGTCATCACCCTTTCGCCTAAGGACAATAACTTGGGGGGCTCATGTTTTAGACTAGGCCGGCACTTGCCCCAATGTTGGGGAGGCCCAATCTAATGTCTTTACAAAGGCCCAAAAGCATACAACCCAAACTAAGGACCTTTGGACATTTTCCCACGTGTCCACTAGAAAATGACTCACGTGTCCATAACGTCATCATCCTGCCCTCAGAGAATAACGGGTCCAACTTTTCTACTTTCTCGGGGCAGTTAACCAGGAAGGAGACCACATGCTGGACTTCATACACTTGTAAACCCTGACAGTCTTCGTTATTGGGCCTCATTGTGGCCCAATACTGAAGACCTTGGTCTAACGCTGATGGCTATAAAAATCCTCTCACTTGAGAGGGTCAAATATTCAATCACTTATCCATACTCACTTTGCTTGCTCTTACTCTGAATCTTACTTTGGCATCAATGTGTATTGCAGGTATTTCCCCTCTCTCACTTCACATTCAACCGCTACTTAACTTGAAGTTCGTGGGCCTTGACGATTCATTCTGATCAGGTACGATCAAACACCTAAGAATATGAATGTAGTTTTTAAAATGATTGGTTTTACCATCCAAAAAGAATAACGACACAACTTATTGCTCATTTGCTTATTATTTCTGTATAATCTTAATTATTATATTAATATTAATATTAATATTAATATTAATATTAATATTAATATTAATATTAATATTAATATACTACATATTTAGTTAAGCCATATATATATTATAATTTTAAGTTAATCGAATATATTATAACTGAGTTAGCTGGATGTAATTTATTAGAGGTTAACTCTGATAATACTATTTATATATTAATATAACTAAATTATTAATAATTATAAATTAATAACTTTTTTAAAATACATATTATAATAATTTATATATTTTTAATTTAGCTATATTTATAACAAACCCGTGCAAAATCCCACGGGTATTTACTAGTTTATATATGTGGTATAAATTATTTATATATGCGCTATAGATTATTTTTCTATGTTATAAATAATGTTATAAGTTATTTTTAGTAAACTTTTGCAAAAAGTGATACAAACTTTAGCTCAGATCAGTCCATTTAAAACTGAAGTCAGTAGCTATTCAAATATTAATTAACAAATTCTAAATGAAATAATAGAGTTTTTGTTTGTAATAATTAGGTATTGAAAAAAATATATAAATAATTACGTTTCGAAAAAAATTATACAGATAACTATGTTTCAAAAAATGTAAACATGCAATAGTCAAATCAGATTGTATATGCATTGATTTTTTTAAAGGAGACGCTAAATGAGATGTCGCTTAAGTGTATCTGATTTGTCATAAGCCATCTCAGATGACGTCTAGGTGTAAAATGTATTTTTTTGAATTTTTTTTGTTAAAAAAAAGAAAAGACAATTTTGTCGGAAATGAAAGTTCAATTTTCAATAATAATTAAACAATTACATAATGAGAATAAACGTTACATATTATTTAGTTGTCGTCCGAGACTCTATAATAACTCGTTGTTCTGCACTCGCGCTCTCGCCTAACTCGTGTGGGTTTCAATGATTATCCTGTTGCGATTGGGTCGAGGGCCATGCGATGTCAATGTGTTCAGGATTCATGAAATTCGTCAAATCAGCACACTCGGAAGACCCGCTTTCAAACAGTCGGTTACCTATTCCCTCAAAGTTTGGTCGTATTGGTAGGGGTGGGATTCCATGGGTGGTCGATAGTCCTGGTCGAATAAATAAGGGGGTAAAAAAATGAATCTTATGGAGTTTGGTATTGTGATTGTTAGGTGTTACGATGATGTGATGGTTGATCGTAAGTTGGGTTAGTTGGGGAATATTCTTCAGGTAGGTCAATGTCTGGGCTAAGGTGAGATGATGAGGGGCATATGGGTGTATTGGGATACAAGTTGTGATTGGGGTTTGGTGTTTATTGATATATATCATCGTGTTGTTTGGTAGGAGGTTGATGTGTGTTGAGTTTGTAGTTGAGGTTGTTGTTGGGTGGTGTATGATTGTTGGTAGTGTTGTTGGGGATTTGAGGATTATGCCCCTTATATGTGTGGGTCGATCAAATACTTCGGGTCAGACACAAACATTTCAGGGTTAGTAACTGACATGTACCAATCAATATATTGATCTGTGTGTCGCATATTATACTGGATGAGGAAAATAGGGAATTGTAAAACATCGTAAACTAATTTATGATCTAATATGTCAATAAATCTTATCTCTCGTCAGCAATGATCCGTCATTGAAGGTGAAAACCATAATCTCTCAAATCACTACAGTATACAATTATACTCCGTCATACCACAAGGTGTGGTTAGCAAAGATCAAGGTAATTGAAAAAGTATATGGAAACTGGGAGGATCCATACAAAGAATTATCGCGCTACCTGCATGCACTTCGTATGTATGCTTCTGGAACTGTTTATATTATGGAAACATTGTCGGTGTATGCCCCAGACGGTACTTATGTCAACGGAAATGGAATATTTCGTCGATTGTTATAGGATTTTCAACCTTGCATCACAGGGTTTGCATCATGCAAACCTATTATTCATATATATGAGACGTGGTTGTATTGGAAATACAAAGGCACGCTACTGATGACAGTTGCACAAGATGACAACAATAACATTTTTTCCAATTTCCTTTGCTCTAGTCGAGGAAGAGACTGGTTGTGCTTGGAGTTTCTTTCTCAAGAATCTCTGATAGACATGCTTCTATTGAGAGCGCATAGAATAATCCTGCAAATGGTTGACATGATCCCCTTTCTATGCATGTCTATTGCGTTAGACATATCGTACAAAATTTCACGCGGAAGATCAAAGACAAAGCTCTTTGGAAAATAGTTATAAACATCGGGTATGCATTAACACAACCTTCGTTCAAACACTATCACAACGAGATCAGATTGTCAAATCTAGATGGAGGTAGGTGGATTGATAATCTTCTAGTGGAAAAATGAACGAGGTCATACGATAATGAACAACGATGGGGCCACAGGACAACAAATCTTATTAAATCAATTAATAGTGTCTTCAAAGACATATGAAACCTCCCAGTAACCGCTTTGGTGAAATCAACGTATTTTAGTATAACTTTGTTGTTTCAAAAAGAGGTCAAATATGGAACGCGGTGTTACAATCAAGACAACTATGAAGTGAAAGATGCATGGAATTTATTAAGGCAGAAAGTGACAAAGCCAACACCCATCATGTTACAAGGTTCGACTGGCATAGCCACAACTTTATTGTCAAAGACACACTCGACCACAACAAGGGGCTGCCAAGACAAGAGTATAGGGTTATACTACCATATGTTGGTGTGATTATGGAAAGTTTCAAGTCTTTAGTATGCCTTACTCTCATGTCATTATGGTATGTAAGTACGCTTATTAAGATGCATTACTACTTATATCTCCTATTTACAAGGTTGAGACGTTGTTTAACGCATACAACAATAACTTTCCAGTGGTAGCGAAACTGGATTATTTGCCTGCGTACGAAGGGAAAAACGGTTTGGCACAACGATCAAATGTGAAGGAATA